AACTTTAACACCAAAAAACGTGCTTGAAATTTGTGATTTTCGGAAAGAAAACAAAAACTTAATGCAAAAAATAGAAATACGGATTTAAACTTCATGACCTTTGCTTCAAAACAGTGTAAAGTTTTTGATCGCATGAATGACTGTAGAGATGACAATTAAAATTTTATTCACGTTAGTTAAATTATCAGCCCCGCTGATTTTCAGAATCACGTGACGCTAAAACAAACACAATGTTCACAAAATATTAATAGTAGGAAAATACAAGACAAGAGCTTTCTAAACATATATAGATTGTATGGTTTCTTGTAAAATTTATTCCGATTATAGGTGTTTACATTTTTCATGCAAAAAAACTATCCTGCTACCTTAAAGAAGTAAAATATTACTTGTTTTGACCGCCTCAGTAATTTATGTAATCACATGCAATTCTAACAGAACAAATATGGTTAATGTGATAGACTCTGAGATGTGGGTCAAATCAAGAAGATTCTGAACAAGGAATGTAAATTAATTTATACAGAACACAACTTATTTCGCAGATAGATGAAAAACCCTGGTAACGTATTTTAGAAACACATCTTCAATAGAAGCGTATATAAACCCAAAATTGGGTTTGTGGCATACTGAAGCATTAAAATATTATTAATACATGTACGTGGTAATCTGATCTGAGTGCCTTGAACACAATTAGAAGAAAGTTAAAAACAACAATGTACTTTATCAATAGCCAGAGTAGCTCTACGAAATAATGCGTGCATGCTTTTTACTCCCTATAATAGATCCAGCTAATAGATTTTGAAATATGACATCCCAAACAAAAAAGCTATGACAATAGTCCAATCACGATTGAATATGGGCATGAATTTCCAAATTTCCTTTCAATCAAAAAACAATTCCTGATCTATGAAATCCTACGTGGTTGGTAAAATAAGGACATACATGTATAGACAGGGGCAACATGAGTATCAATTCTCAACTAGTTGTCAAGATTCCATGCACTATTATAGTTTGGTACCTGCAATGCATGTGTGTTCTCACCAATCGTGATATGTACAGTTGAAATGAACATGAATGTTACCTATTTAAATCAGTACACATATTTGTGAGAAAAATAAGTGATATACCAACAAATACTTTCTTTTAGACAAAATAATTACGAATTCAGACGTATAAACTAAGTGTTTTGAAATTTCTAAATAGTAATAATAATTTGAAGTCGAACAGACACAGCGATGATAAAAATGTCTTTGCCAACTGAAACATGCATTATCCTGCTGATTTGGGAATTAAAACCTAATAGCATTCTTTCACCAGATTTTGAGGGATTGTGCCTTAAAAGACAACCAAACATGAATATCGGCCATTCTTATAATAAATAGTACAGCGAGAGTAGCCGCAAAATAAGCGAGCTCAGTAGCTCTGAATTTATGGGGGTGTCAGAATATTACTCGGCTGCCAAGTCAATCACCGCCTGCTAAATCAAAACGATTTGGAAGAGCAGCCAATTGATGCTCACTGTTTGGGATCAAACAAATGAGCCAAAAACAAACAAGTAACTGCCAGAACCAATTCTCTTACATCAGGCGCAAGATATTTACATTGGCCTAACACCTGCATCTGGTAGGCAACACTCCAGTGACCGTTGTAGACACAATAAAGTTATACTAGTATACCCATCTACGTGAAAGTTAATCAAAACAAAGCAACAGGGTTTTAGATTGGTATAACATGTGAGAACTGGTCATAAACAAAATGTAGGATTGTCTGGATCTGAATATATTACTACTAATAATAATAACTTTATTGCCTCCATGTAAAAGGATTTACATAGTATGAGTACAGCAAAAGAGTTTTAAAATAATAACAGAATATATGTAAAAATAAATTTAGCATATGTTCTCAGTTTGCTATTTTCATTCACAGAAACTGGCATTATAATTTCAAAATTTGATTTTTTTTTATAGCTTTTTTCGAAGTTTAGTAAATTGTCTTTCAATAATGTATGTACATATATTGCATTTAGCCATTTGTATTGTATAGTATTGTGTTGCGTTGTGTTTGTTCTAGGTATGCCTGTTAGATTATCATCTGGGAGTTCCTTTATATGCAAGCAGTAATTTATAGCTTGAACTTTTGCACTGAGCAGTAATGGATAATGACCCACCTCTGCTCTTGATGCTAAGTTACAGGATTTTTTATTTACTTGTAAGATTTGTTTGCAAATTCAATATTGATTTTTTTCAATTGATGTTTTGTCCCATTTAATTTTATTGTGCTTCCTAGATATGTCTAACTGTTGTTTGTTGTTTGAATGTTATCATTTCCAAAACTGAATTGGTATTTTTTTCTCAATGCTGATGAATCAAAGATAAGAACTCAAGTTTTTGAAAGGTTTACAATCACTTTCCACTTATTGCAATATTCATTTAGTTTATTTAATGATGTCTGTAGACCAGCCTGGGTAGTGGAAGTGAAGGCTAAATCATCTGCATATAAAATAGAGTTAACAGTGTTATTATTCAGTAGTGGTCAGATGACTCAGTATTGGCATTATCCAAACCATGCTTTAAATCAATAATAAAAATGTTGAAAAGAGTTGGGCTAATTATACATCCCTGTTTTACTACTTTACCAATTCTTTGGTTATATAATCATTTATATTAATGCAAGCTTTTGTGTTTGAATAAGAATAAGTGTTTTTAATTATTTGGTAAATCTTGCCATTAATGTTTTACTGGTAAATATGTTATATTCGCTGGATTATATTTTCACTGAAACATTCCTTCAGCAAAAATAGCAAAAATTAATTCCAAGCAAAAATAAAGTATTTTACAGTATTTTAATAGCTTATAGAATAGCCGTATTCTCCATACCGTGTCGAATGCTTTGGCAAAATCTACAAAACAAACATTTATTGAACCAATCACAAAACTGGTTACAAACAAGTTGAGCTAGGTTAACAGAGTTGTAACCTTGATGTAGTTCGTAACCAGTATTATGATTGGTTGTTAACAAATTCTGAACAGACCACGCCTCCAACTGTGCCATGCGTTCGGGCCAACTGTTAATTATTCAGAAATTGAGTCAATTTGGGTAGTTTTCTTGATTTATTCAGATATAAGTAAAATATAGGGAGGGCTTTGGCGAAATTTGAAAGAGCAACTAATATTCTTCAACCTGGTATTTTTTATAGATTTTATTTTTCATTCTGTTCGTCTGTTTTTTCCAGTTTAAAAATATGAGCTTACTGGAGCCTTCATCCCTTGTCTATTCCCTACACTAGATACCAGCCGATACCCCCTAATAGAGACTGCATACAGTTGATCATAGTTCCTGGGCTCTCTGTGTTCATACTTTGGCAATTATAACTGGCAGAGTTTGACTATTTTTTCTGTTCTGACCGAGTTAGAATCTGGCCAACTTCGACTGTATTCTGCCAAGGTGTAGTGGTGAAGTCATGTCGAATAAATGAACCTTGGCTGGGGAAGATGGTCATATGTGTCCACCAAGTTTTATTATAGCAGGATCTACGCCGTTGGTTGAGCAGGCAGCCGACTACCTAATGTCTGATGTCACCTCTGTGAGACCAGGGCGATATATAACATGTATATATATTACATAGGGACCAACTTTACCAACGGTTGAATTAATACTGGGTCTTATATTGACCACGGACATTATCTTCTATTCGGACAATACTTTAACACTTATTAAGAGGCCACATACAGAGCGTGTATGTCACCGTTTTTTGTATATACAATTGTAAATTGTATATTCTAGTATATATTTTTAGTCTTGCGCACATGCTTAGCTACCGATAGTTAACAATGCATGACGTATTTTAAATATATTGATCAAAACTATATACATATACTTTTTATGTAAGTATCTATATTTATTAATCGTATCACTATTTTGACCTTTATCGTAAATTTGCAATGTATTTTTTAACATAGATGAACTGTATACTTTATAACTGAGTAATAAAAAGAGTATATATATATATATATATATATATATATAAATATATATATATATACTAGTACCCTAAGAGTTTTAAAATGATGCACTTCCGGTCTATGGGCTGAGTAAATAAATAAATAAACAATCAATCGACGAATAAACAGCTCGGCTGCTCTCACTCGCCAGACACTGTCTGTTACATATTACTGTGAGACCAGGACCATCTATTCACTCAGTATTGATCATTGTCACTAAACGTATTAAAACTCGACTTCCGTATTATGGATTAAAGCATTTCTTATATCGTCAATCAGGATCAATTAATCAATTCAAATGAGTTATTTTCATGCGAATGAAGGTCGTTGATACTCCACTACTCATTAGACCTTTAAAATACAGACAATTATGTCACAGAAATATATATGCAGGAACTCACCAATGTCAACTTTATTTCACCTGAGCGTCGCCATTTTGATTCATCGCGATCTCGTTTTAGTCTCGCTCTCGCTATTTGACAGAACCAGGAACAGGGGTGCGTTATTTTTGTAAATAAGATAGTTTTCATTTGTCTTCAGATGCATAGTGGCACTACACCATTATAGAGCGCTATAAACACGTAATAACGTAAGATTTGTATTGCTAGATAAACTATTGAGTTTTAAAATTATGTATTTCCATTGTTGATGTCCGTGTATTTAAACTATAATCTCCCCTTAGAAAAATAGATTTGCCCAGATTTGTAGTGGTTATATGAGCAACATCGATTGGCTGAAATTAGTTAACCACTTTACAAACTTTGCTGTATCCAAAGACAACTCAGTCTTTGCAGGTGTTATGAATATTCCACATTCACATACGATTTGAATCATCGATTAACCTATTAGATGCTTAGGATAAACAAAAACTTTTTTACGCGGTAATTATTCGGCGAGCATTCAGAAGCTGTATTTTCTTCAGCCAATCACAGAGCATCTAATACAATACTCTTTTCAGACCTGACAACAACACGTGATGTAATCATAAACACAACCACATGTTTTAAGTAAGTTGCAGTTTCGTCGTTCAGCTGCGACGAAGATGGAGATGTTTTACATTGTTCTTTCGAATCGAGTTCGATAATATTTTTAGCTTTTATTATTATGTCACGGTCTGGCAACTTTTTGCTTCAGAATCCTTTTTAATGTCGTCGTGCAGTTTGAGTGTCGTCAGCAATTGTGCGGAATAGTTTGTAGCCCAACTAAACAAAATGTCAAGGGGAAGAAAAAGTGGAACCGGAGACCCAATGGATGATTTCCTAAGCTCGTTGGGTCTAGTGCGAAAGCCAACAGCCAAGGATGGTTCTTGTTTGTTTAGAGCGGTTTCGGAACAGGCAAGTAAACACAATGAACAATATGAACATTTATGTGCGGGGGAAAAAAAAACATTCGTTGGAGGAGGGTCCACGCTGATGTCCACGTGAAGTGCGATTCTTCCCGCAATGTTGCACCTGTTGAAAAGTTATTTTTAATTGACACTTTTTTTTATACAATGTTTTATATTTGTCAATAAAAATTTCAAAATTGGACGACACAGCATGATCAATTTATTCTTATTTTTCGGGATTTTTTTATTTTATTGAAGTTTTGTTTTGCAGGTCTTTTACTGCCAAGCTTTGCATAATGAAGTTCGGGAAGCATGTATTAACTACATGGAGCGAAACAGAGAGAAATTTGAACCAGTTAGTTATTTTTTTTTTTTTTTAAATATTTGTGCTGTTTAATTGAATTGTTGATTATGAACTCTGGCCTACAGTGCCTTTGGGTCAGTAAAAAATAGTTCATAATAGGCAATATTTGATTCAAAGTAGGTATTCTGTTGTCGGTTCAAGTTGTATGACTAAATGTACTAAATGTAGTTAAAATCTGCAGTATTGAGTTATGGACCAATTTTAGTAATTTAATTTTGACAACCTAAAACCTAGTCATTCAAAGTGGTCTCAAAACCTGCTTCGAAACATGCTCAGCACCATTAGTTTATAGTTTATTGAAACACTTAAAATTCCTCAGAGGAATTAAAATGGTTACACTAACTGCTAAAACACGTATATAAAACATACAAATAGTAATGTTCGCTTGGACCCAGTGGCAACATATGTTGCATAAATTTTAAAGGAAGAGACCAAAAATGCAAAGGTAAAAAAAGTTTGTTGCAAACTATCTTGTGGAATGCTTCACATCAAATTTGTATTAATTAAGAAGCTCATATTTGAACTTGGTGACACACTAAGATGATGAAAACAACCAAATCAATAACTTCTGGCCCAGATATCTTACAGAAAATGTAATTGTTGCATTTGGTATATGGCACTTGTTACGACTTGGCAAGTCAAATGATACAAATAAAATGTATGTGATAATACAACTGAAGTTGTATTATCTGGCCATGTGCACCCCATGTTTGGAGAAGTATAAAATTAGGCTCAGAATTAAAATGAGAAAACCAGGAGATATACATGTACAACCCTTTAATGAATGTGTTACTTATAAATTATAATTGACAATTTTCGGTTCGCTGTGAGGTTCGTGAAATTGAATGTAAAAACCGAACATATAAAGGTCAGTGTTATAGTGATATCATAACATTATGTGGGATTCTACAAACCCAAAATTATTTTATGGGTATTTTAAGTTGGAACAGATGGAAATAGCGAGTTTAATTGTGGTTATATAGCATTCTTCATCAGTTACTAAGCATGTAACTATGGCAATGTGTTTTCAGAAAGCTGAGATACAATATGATCACATACTTTACTTTACTGCACTTATTTTTTTTTTTCCAGATCTGAAAATTCTATGTGGGCCTTTTTCAAAATTTTCATCAAAAATTACCTCATCCCTAATGCACTGACAGAGCAACTGAGCATGCTCAGAATAAATAATTAGGTCAGATGATAATGCTAGGGTTTTAAGTGACACCATGACCTTGATCTGAATCAGTGACAGAAATGGACCAGTGTCTGGTTTTTGTTTGGTTTTGTATGAAAACAAAATCTTGAAAAAAAGTGTTTAGAAATGTTGTTGTATATTATATCTTTAAACTGTAAAAATTGCATTCCATTATTAATAAAGAGCAATCACTGAAATACCGGGTCACAAAGTTGAAGATCAGTGAAAACACTTTGCAGTTACTGTTTATAAATCTTGGCCAGATACATTGACACATGGTCGAAATATAAATGGGTCTAAAAAACGGCAGTGTTGAAAGTTTTTTTGTTGTGCAAATATTACGATGTCAAAAACGGCAACACCACAACGGCATATTCTGTGTTCACACACACATTTTAACAACCTTCTCAAAAAGAAGGCATTGTGACAACTGCTTATTTCGTCCAGTGAGAACACCACTTGTGACATTTCATGCCTTGTCATGTTAATATTTGCTTAGGAAATACAGTTAGGCAAGTCTGCTACTTTTTTTAGCTCCGCTGTCAACTTTGTCGAGCGGAGCTTATGAGTGATTGTCCTCGGCGTCCGTCGTCCGTGTCAATGTTTTACTTTTTCGACTTCTTCTTGAAAACTACAAGCCCAATTGCTTTGATACTTGGTGTATATGTACCTCGGGTAGACCTCACTTAGATTTGTTTATTTCCTAATGATATAATCAATTAATTTTGATAAGTATTTCTGTGATTTTTGGTAAAAAGTGATATAGTCAGAGTGCTTTGATATTATACATTTTGGCACCTCAGGTGGACCTCTCTGATTTGTTCATTTTGTGATATCTTCAATTCTCTAATTGAAATGTGCATTGCTAAGAGTGGACCTATCTCAGCTGAGAGGCTGCTTGTTTACACACCTCATGGTTCTCCGGCAAACTTGCAGGCTACTTCATTTCATTGTTCATAATTGTGATACAACAACTCAAGACAGAGTATCACAAAAACTATGAAACAGCGTTTTTCACCCTATAGTGTATGTAGTGTACATTTTGTAAATGGATGGTGTAATTTGTGTGTCACTAGTGCGAAGTGTTGAAGGATGGATGTTTGCCGTGA